ACCCCGAAGGCCTGACGGGGCCTTGAAGAGGCAGCGGCAGCCTCTTCAGGGTCTGTTGAGGATCCGCCGCAATCAGGGGAGGGACCCCTGATGGCCGACCTGATGTCAGGGCCCAATGCACCGCTTACCAGAGCCTTCATCTTTTGCGGCTGGAGATGCATCACCGTTGACTGGTTGATCAACCCTCAACATGACCTCGCACACCCGGAGTTTCAGCAAGAGCTTCACGAGATGTTGCAGCAAGCCGATTGCATCTGTGCCGCGTTGGACTGTAGCACCAAGTCCCGCGCTCGAGAGATTCCCAGGAAGTTCGAGGACGGCCGACCCGCTCCGAAGCCCCTGCGGTCAGACGAACACCCCACAGGCCTTCCACACCTCCGAGGGAGTGACCTTCGGCGAGTGACCAAGGACAACCAGGCCTGTGACTTTGTCCTCCAGGAGATCCAGGAGTTGGCCGATCGTGGTGGAGTGTCACTGCAGGAGAATCCGGCGAGGAGCCTCCATTGGGAGCTGCCCCGTGAGAAGCAGATGTTGGCATCCGGCGATTGGCAGGACACCTGCTATGCAGCATGTTGCTTCATGGGGGCACGGTGCAAGCAGCAGCGACTCAGGCACAACATCCAGGAGATCTCCCAGTGGCCGCCGCTCCAATGCCATCATCAGCACGACCCAGATGAGTGGAAGCCATACACCTTGGATGGGCAGCGAGTTTTCCCTAGCCATGAGGAAGCCGAGTACACAGCCCCGCTGGCCTTCGCCATTGCGGTGTCCACTAGTTGGTGGGCAGTGCGTGTCGGTCGAGCCAAGTTGCGCGTCCCTCGGATGCCGCCGACTGAGGCTGTGGGCCGCCGGGAACACTGGCTTCACTATGATCCCCGCTCGATGCGCAGCTGGGCCATGACTCCTTTGGCGATCCAGCTGGGCCTGCGACCACTCGACCCGCGCGAGCGTGCACGGGTGCCTCGCGTGCGCCGAGCCGTTGACCTCTTGGTGGATGGCCAACTTCCCGCCAAGTGCATCTACGTAGGGCGAGGGCATCACAGCCACAAGTTGCCCCTGTCGAAATGGTGCTCTCCGTACACCCCAGGACATGATTGTACCGCAGATGAATGGCTTCCTTGCTATGTTGAGTTCATCATGTCATCCAAGGCGGCGGAACTCCCAGAGCTGGCGGGCTGCACCTTAGCCTGTGATTGCCCACATGACAGCGACGTTTGCGAAGCCGATGCGCTGGCAGGACTGGTTTTTGACGCCACAGCCCCGGAAGCACCTCGCTACCTGGCAGCGGCAGGCGGGCAAACCCAGAGGCATCACTCGACAGCATCCCGAGCATTGCGGTTGGGGGTCATCTCAAGCCGAGGAGTGGCCGCGAGCATCCCAGCACGAGTTGGCCTATTCACCCAAGAAGGCGTTGTCACGTGCTTCCGCCGCCTCTTCCCAGGTACATGGTTCCAGGACTTCAAGTTCCCGATGATCGAAGACCTCCTGAACCAGGCACCGTTCTGTGAGTTTCCACGCTGGAGAGACCAGCACGATCTCAAGGCAGATGGGCCCCTGGGACCACATTTGGCTAGCGCAGCTTTGAGACAGCGGCAGCGTCATGCCGAAGGCCAGCAAGCCGGAGCTTTGAGCCATAAAGCCGCCCTACCTCCGCTTTTGAGTTTTGGGCTGGACCCGGATACCCACTTTCAGCGAGCTTGCCTTCGAAGCCAGGCACCCATCCCGACTGAGCAGTCGGTTCTCCTGGACGATGATCTTTGGTTTGTGGCCGAACTCTATGCATCACGTTCCGAGGACCTACCACGACTCCGCGAGCAGAGCCTAGGCATCTTGAAGGAGCTGAAGCAGCGATGGAGGAGCGTGGGCGAGCGCCTGCGGACTTTCCAAACATCAGCGATTCGGGCAGTCACCCGTTCCCGGGACATCGGACTAACGGCCCTCTTGGTTACCCTGACTTCCTGGGCGGATATCACGTACCCTTACGGCTTGGTAGCGGGACTGCCAGCTGTAGGTACGGCACCACCCTACGGGGTCTTTCCGGAACAGCCAGGTCGTATCCTCACCATGGAGGACGTGCTCGACGACTGGGAAACCCACAACTACAAGACTCTCGCCTCGCTCAAACCCGGCAGACATGATGCCGTGCTGCTGGAGCAATCGCTGAACGATGCCGCCCAGGGTTTCTGCTCTGCACCGTTGACCCATGCGCAGCTACTACGAGAACTACGAGGAGAACCATTCCGCCTCATCCCCAGATGTGTGATTGCGCAATCCTCGGGCAAAAAGCGGATTATTGACAATGGAGATACAGGAGGCCAGTCTGAGCGTTCTTCGGATTGGAACAAGTTGGTCTTGTGCTCGCCACTGCGCCCGGCACAACATGTGGGGGCGGTAGCCTCGCTTCTGACAGACGAACAGTGGCACACTCTTACGACTGACGACGAGTGGCTGTCAGGAGGGGAAGATTGGCCGAACGCCTATCGGCATTCCCCTATCAGTCAGGCAGAGAGCCGCGGCTGTATCGTCTGCTTCTGGCATGCTGAGCGGGAGGAACCCGCCTTTCAGGTGTATTCATCCCTCCTCTTCGGCCTTCCGCTCGCGGTTACATCGTTCAATCGGTATTCCCGCTTCATTGAAGCCCTGGGCCGACGGCTTACCTACAGTCTGGTGTCGCTCTATTTCGATGATGCCCACATCACGGACCTCCAGTCAGGATTCGGCTCCAGCCAACAAGCTTTCTGTCAGTTGAATTCCCTCCTAGGTACCCCGTTCGCCGAGGAGAAAAAACAGTTGATGCAGCCTACCGGTACCTTTCTGGGCCTTGATCACGACTTTACGAACCTCAGCCGGGGCTTCGTGACGTTTTGGGCCCGAGATCGATTGATTCAGAAGACAGCTGCGATGATTACCGAAGCTCAGGCACACAATAGTCTGTCCTCAGGCCAGGCATCCAAGCTCTACGGCATGCTCAATTTTCTCGAGCAGGGCATGTACGGAAGGTTGGGTTGCGCAGGCTTGGCAGCCATCAAAGCACGCTAGACAGAACGCAACCGCGACCTCACTCCAGAGCTTCAGCGCAACTTCGATGTGATTCACTCCATCCTTCGCCATCGACCCTGTCGCGAACTTTCTGTGAGGCCGTCCGAGTGTCTGCGGTTTGTTGTAGCTTCTGATGCAGCTTTGGAGGAACCAAAGCAGGGCACAGGAGGATTTTTAATCGTATGGCACGATCCGGTGGGACCGGTTCGGGAAGCCTTCATCGCCAACATTCCTCCGGAAGTTTACCAGCTGTGGGAGCCTGGTGATAGGCAGATAGCCCAGTTGGAGATGGTGATGATCATTTATGCCCTCACATATCGGGCGCAGGCCTTTCGGGGTCGTCGAGGCATTTGGCTGATCGATAACGTCGCTAGCCTCATGTGTCTGATCCGGGGCCGTTCCCAGTCACCCGATCTGGAGCGCATTTGCGGTTTGATTCATGTCATGCTGTACGCCTTGCGTACTTGGATGTATTGGGAATACATTCCGTCTAAGAGTAATTGGGCCGACGCCATTTCAAGACTAGGTTGGTCCGATCCGTGGTGGCGAACCAACGGATTCACCCCTTTTTCCGTCTCTTGCCCTCTCTGCCTTTGGCACCTTCCACTGCCAGCAGTGATCCGAGTCGTGGAATTTCTCTAAGTGCGTTGGGAGGATTTGAAGTGCATTGGGAGTGGTTTCCGGAGTGACCGGAAGGATACCACAAGGGTCTGATT